AGTCACGACCAATTCGGGTCGCGACCAGAGTCACGGAACGAATTAAGTTCGTGAACTGAGGTACCACTGTATTTTGTTTGAATGGAAAGCAACAGAAATAATCAGTGCATGGGTGGCCAGCACAGCTTTTCAACAGCTGTATAAGAGGACCCTAGCATGGAACCTAACTGCTGAATATTGACTTCAGAAACTTGAAATGTTGGTACTTTGTATTATTAAAACAAAAGCAAGTGGTTTGGTCCAACAGAAGAAACTTCTAGTTATAGTAAAGAAAAAGAATTGGAAGAATGGTCCCAGTACAGTAGTGGTAAAATTGTCAGAGGTTAGAAAAGGAGAAAAATGTAGCCTTTCCTAAAGTGAACACTCTGGGGGAAAGTAACTTGCAGCCTGCAAGTGAGAATCCACCTGTTTCTTCACTCCCTCTGCACCCCTAGAAGAAAACATGTAGGAGAAAAAGAAATGCTTAGAATGAGAGACAGAAATATGGCTTTTAACTGTTTGGCTGAATAAATCAACACAATATTAAAATAAATAAAAATAAAAATCTGGATTTAGAACAAGAATTTGAAACAGGAGATCAGCCAGACTATCCAAAAAGTCAGAACAGAACAGCCAAAGAAAGAAACACAAAAACCTGCTATGGGAATGGAAGTTTTAATCATTGTGAAATTATGCTTGAGTGTTTTTTGTCTGGTCCCATAATTTTTCCAACATGGGCTTATACTCAGGCTTTCTTTGAAGAGCGACTGTTAAACAGAAGGAATACAGAAACAATACAGAATATGGAAACAACTTTGTGCATAGACGGATCCCTTTTTTTTCCAGCAACAATATGGATGTGGGCTATTACAGAGATATTTTTTTACTTCTGTTTGGCCTACAATTCTGTATTCTCTGTAAGTCTACCATTCAAGCACTAACTAGGACCAGCCCAGCTGAGCTTTTAAGTCCAGTAGTGAATTGTCACCTCCTGAGTTTATTCTCTATTACTAGAAACATTCTCCCTTCCATTTTTCTATGACTTCCAAGAGAGAGATGACCCAGAGCTCTCCTGGAAAGGGTGAACCATTGGGAGAAACACTATTTTCTTGCCACTTCCTGTTCCGAGATGCTGGGCTATCTATGTATAAAATAGAAGTGGCTCTTGGGGAATAAGCACGGAGAAACCATAGCTTGACATTAGACTGTACAGTGGAACCTCGGGTTACGAACGCTTCTGTTAAAGAACTTTTCGGGTTACGACCAGCTCCGGCCGCAAAATTTTGCTTCGGTTTGCAAACTCCGCCTCGGGGTGCAAACAGGATATGCGGCCATTTTCCCTCCTGTGACACGGTCTGCGGCCATTTTTCCGCCCGGACACGTGGTCCGCGGCCATTTTCCGCCCCGACACGTGGTCCGCGGCCATTTTCCGCCCCG